AAAGTATTCTGTGTCCTGAAAGTCAGCTCTACAGCCAAGAACAGTCTGATTTGGTCACTGCTAGCCACGTACTAATACTTGTTTTCCAGTACAGGAAAGTATCTCAGTTACCCCGATAAAGTATTCTGTGTCCTGAAAGTCAGCTCTACAGCCAAGAACAGTCTGATTGTGGTCACTGCTAGCCACGTACTAATGCTTGTTTTCCAGTACAGGAAAGTATCTCAGTTACCCCGATTTGTGTGTGGGCTAGAGGCTGCTTCTCTTTCTTAATGGACACTTCGTTCAGTTGTTTGTGATTTTCTTCAACACCCCTTAAAATAATCTCTATTTCCTTTTTGTTTTTGAGAAAGGCAGCATATTCCAGATCAGTTCTTACCCAGTTGCCCACTTTTAGAAGTCCAGGCAAGGCACTAGGGATTGTGTGGAGTTAAAGGGAATGCTTATGCTTTTAATACTTTTCCTTGCTGTCTTGCATTCCTGAATTTATATCAGCTGTGGCGGAAGCCAAAGGCAGAGAAATTTTAAGTGGGTTCAGCTAGGCATTTAGTACAATTCTTCTTTGTTATTGTTTTAAAACTGGCTTCTTTGTTACCAAAAGATCCTGTCCTTTCTCTGATCCCACAGAACTACTTGTATATTTCTCCCTTCATGTGACAGGATGGAATTCTAGCAATTTTCTGCTTTCTAATTCAGAAATTACTCTGTCCATGTGTTGTGGTTCCAGAAAATTACATACAAGGATGTTTGAGATTCCCATAAAACTATTGTAGATCAGCTCTGCATTTGAAAAATCAGTCTTTAAATAAGCACTTTTTGGAACATGGGTCCAATTGGTCTGTCTTTAAGTTTTATGGAGTTTCTGTTTTTATGCGGTTTTGGTGGGTCTTCTAATTTTTGTTGTTATCTTGGAAGAGTCCTGGGGAAAGAATTTTGACTTGAAATCATGGGTTCTCCAACAACTACTTCTAAACCAATTAAATCTTGTCAGATTTTATGTGGATTTTGCTTCTGGATCTGCTCAAAGATGTGAGCTGGTTTTCTAGCTAGATGAAAAACTGAAAACAAAAGCAAGAATTGAATGTTGGTTAGAACATATACTTCATAAATTTAGTATGAAATCAAAGAAATTTTACTTAGAAGAATTTAGCTCACATTGAAAAATACCTATCCCTATATAATATACATAATGTATACATATACTTTCCGTATCATTGTGAATTTTTAAAATATCTCTTTTGTGTATATGATGTGTATGTGAATGTGTATCTGTGTGTGTGTTCGTGTGTGTAAGTGTGAATGTGCATGTGGAGGTCAGAGGACAACCTCAGGTGTCCGTCCTCACCTTCTACCACGTTTGAGACAGGGTGCCTATTGTTTCTGCGTCTAAGCCAGACTAGCTGGCTCTCAAGCTTTCTGGGGTTCTCCCGTCTCCACATTCCATCTTGTGGTAAGAGCTCTAGTGTTACAGACACACTACTGCACCTGGCTTTATGTGGGTTATGGGGGCTGGAACTCAGGGCCTCACACGTGTGGCAAGTGTTCTATCTACTGAGCCATCTCCTCAGCCCTCATTGGGAATTTTTTTTTTAAAGTCCTTTGGTTTCAAAATTTTATCACTGATATTAAAAATTGTGACCTAATCATGTCTGTGAGTCTTTAAAAACTAGGGACAGAGTTAGAAAGATGACTTAGCAGTTAAGAACACTTGTTGTTCTTGCAGAGGACCTGAATTTGGTTCCCAGCACCCAAGTGGTAGCTCACACCTGTCTGGAACCCCAGTTCCAGGGATCCAACATCCTGTCTGGTCTCTGTGGGCACCAGGCACACATACACAGTGCACATTCATACATTCAAGCAAAACACTCATAAACATAATATAAAAATAAAATAAATCTTCAAAACAAAACAAAACTGGGGCAATATGTATTTTAAACATTTTTTTTGAGCTACAAAAAGTCATTGTCTCTGTGGAAAAAGAAATAATACAATCAGACAGATAATCAAAACTATATGTAGTTATTGTCTTTACCATAAGACAAAGTCATAGCTATTTAGTCTTCAGGTCTATGTTTTGGCTTTTACATGCAGCCCACAGGTAAAGAGTATCTGTCACTTTAATGGAGATAATTTTACCATCTGCTCAAGTTCTGTTCAGTCCCAGGGCCAGAATGGAAAGAAAAGCATCTCTCTACTGTCTGTACTCATCTTTGCTTTCTTGAAGGACTTTGGGAGGTGGGAAGTCCAGATTTTATCTGAGTCTCTGACTGCATTCTATTTAAGTTGGCAGGTAGAAACTGTTTGCGTGGGTGCTGGGTAGGGGTGGAGATGGTGGGACAGGAGTAGTTGGCTCAGCATCATCTCTTCTCATGAGACCAGGACAGTGAGAACTTCTCTGCATCTTTCCAGGGTAGGCCTGCCCCTTACCACATTCCATCTTCAGAAAGGGGGCCACACCGAGTCTTTCCTAGACACAACAATTTGTGGGTTCTAGTTTGATATGTGAAAAATAAACTGGAAGGTTTTCAGTTAGAAGAAAATGTGTAACAGTATATATTATTAGTTTTAAAATATTTGTTTATTACTTTTATGTGTATGAGTGTTTTATTTGCGTGTATGTAAGTGCATCACATGTATGCAATGTCTTCAGAGGCCAGAAGATGGCATCAGATTCCTTGGAACTGGACTTTTGGATAGTTGTTACCCACCATGTGGGTGCAGGGAACTGAACCTGGGTCCTCTGGAAGAATAGCAAGCACTCTTGCTAACTACTTAGCTGTCTCTCCAGTCCCTTTGTAACAATGTTTTAGTGCTTTTTGGCTATAGCAGTTTTGGGCCATTTGCCTCAACCCAGTGTGTGTGCCACTTTGAGAACATGGTAAACACTTGGGCTGCCTAAATTGTCTGTGCACAGTATTTTTGGCCATAGTCTCTTTATATATTACAATAATCTTTCATCTTTAACATTTTCATGATTGTAACAGTAGTGAATCACATTTCAATTTCTTTATATTATGGAGAAATGCTTATGTCTCTACATTTATGTATTATGCATTTAGTCAAGAAAAACTCACAAACATGGGACATGTTAGAATAACATGACAAAAATGTATGCTATGAAATATCAACCTCATAATTTCCCAGGTGTTCATGGGAGTGACTCAACAGTCAGTGTCCCTTCCTGTCCTGTTTCACAACATAACTGTGTGCCCCTTTATTGCCAAGTGGAGGAACTGGTCATTCCGAGCCTTTTCCTATGATACATTTGAAAAATTGTATAAATGAACTTTCCAGACTCTGTCTCTTAAAGAGTGAAGTAAATGGTGATTGTTAATGCGATTTACTTAACACAAGTATCTTCATATTTCTTGGTTTGCTTTTGTGCTTGGTAGACTATATCACTTAGGAATTCCCTTGAAAGGAATAAGAGAAGACTTTCTTCTTTGTTATTATTTTTATTGAATTTTCGTGAATTTCATACAATATATTCTGATCATATTTAGACCTTCTCGCCTATGTGCACTCCCTTTATAATCACCCCCTGCCAGATTTCATGTACTCTGTCTGGCATATACATTAAAGCCTATGAAGTCAAATTTTTGTCCCTAAATATCCTTCCATGTGCATCCATCCACCAGAGCCCAATTAAACTATCTAGTGTCACACCCTTAGAGAAAACTGACTCTCCCTCTCCCAGCAGCTATCAGTTGCCAACAGTTCCTAAGTGAAGGCTGAAATATTTTCTCACTTCCCCACTTCTATGCTGAGATTTTTGTCTGGCTTGAGCTTGCATGGGTCTTGTACATGCTGCTACCATTGCTGTAAGTTTTTATGAGTAACTTGCTAGCTGTCTGGAACATTCTGTTTCCTTGTAGTCATCCACCACCTCTGACTCTTACAATCTTTCCGCCCCCTTGTCCACAATGATCCCGAGTCTTGGGCAGCACAGGTTTGATGTACGTGTTCTATTCAGGGATAAGCACTCTGCAGCCTCATATTCTCTGCACATTGGCCAGTTGTGGCTTTCTGGGTTAATCGTTATTGGTTCCATGAGGAAATTTCACTGGTGAGAGTCTTAGATGTAGAGCTTGCATGACAGATATGTCACCTAGGGCTGGGTATCTCATAGACATTTATTCTCTGCATTTGACTAGTTGTGAAATTCTGTAATAGTCATTTCTATCTGTCGCAAAAAGAAGCTTCTTTAATGAGTGATGAGCGGTATTCTTGTCAGGCTAGTCCGGAACTCTCAGGCAGCGTGAAGGGACATAGACCCAAGGTGGGACAGTTGGAAGCACTTTTTTTTTTTTTTGAAACAGGATCTCATGTCCCCCGGGATGACCTAGACCTCACTATGAAGCTAGGATGAACACTTGAATTGGAACCTCCTGCCTCCATCTCTTGACAGTTGGGATTACAGGCATGTGACACCATTCCTGATTATATGAAGTGATGGGAATGAATAGGACCCGGGGCCTCGTGTATAATAGATAAACACTCTTCAACTGAATAATATTCTCAACCTAAGATGATACAGTTTGAATCTATGTATATCTCAAAATGTTTTTATTCTGGTTATATACTTAGTGGTTTGGATGACTTTCTAATTTTAGAAGTATTTTTTCTTCCAAATTTACAGAATATTGCATTCCTGGACTGATATACTAATATGTTTATAGTTACCCCACTTTCTCCCCCAATTTGTCTTTATTTCCACTTTTGGGAACATATATACAACTTCATTTTCTAGATCATACTGATTATGATCACATATGATTGAAACAGTTAATATTTCTGCTGCTGCGTCTTTAAATATCAAGAATTCTTTATTAGATTTGATTTCCATTATTTGTCCTGTACTTTGTACAAGCTTATTTTTTAAATAAACTTAAAAAATTAGACAAGGTCTTATTATGTAGCCTTGGCTGGCCTGGAACTCCTTATGTAGAGCAGGCTAGCCTTAAAATCAGAGATCCACCTGCGTCTGCCTGTGTTTCATTAGGACATTTTCACGTAGATCCACATTACATGTGAACATATTCTTGCCATCCTCCCAACCTCCCCCTTCTCACCTTTTCTTTATTTATTCCTTTGTTGGTGGACACTTAGGTTTGTTTCATAATCTAACTATTATGAATAGTGGTGCAATAAACATAGTGTGTAACTATCTCTGTTACATGCTGGCAAGAGTCTTTTGGCTAAATACATAGGAGTGGTATAGATGAGTCATATGGTAGATCTGTTTTTAAATTTTTTCTGGAATGCTCCACACTGTTTTCTGACCAACTTTTGAATATTTCTTCTAATGTCTTATGTGTCTTTAGCAGTACTGCCTTTTTCATGGGATTTTAGAAAGGAGTAAAGAAAGTTTATATAGAATCAAAGTGAGAAATTGACTCAGCTCTTGGAAAATGCTTTCCTATGGTGCATTGCGGTGTGCTGGGGAGTCCAGTCCCTGTGTGCCTTTCCCTCAGATTCCCTTATCTTCACCTCTCACTGGTTCTAGACCTTGGCATTCCTCTCCTGTCTGTGATACAGTACAGCGTGCACTGCCTTTTCCTTTGTGAACTGATCTCATGCACTGTAGACAGGCAACAAAGTTTGGAGTTGCTTTTAGCACAATGCAGTGAATAAAAATAGGACAAAACCAGCATAATTTTCCTTTAAAACAAATTATTTTAAATTTTTAAAGAAAATTATCCATCAAGGGTGGTAGAGGCATATAAATCAAAGCCTCTGGCCAGCTTAAGCAAATAGCATAACTTTCAGTCACCCATGAGTAAATGCTCACCAGAATATGGTGAACACATAATACATTGACTTCACCATATATGTGGCGGTCAGGCAACATATTTATAGAATTATTTATAGAATACTCCTGTGAATGAGGTATTGAATTGGTCTTTATATGATTATAAAGAAGTTTTTAAACTATTTTATCTATTTTATAATGATTGAGCATAACTATAAATTAATTTTATTCCCCAAATGAGTATGTTTGGGGGATGGAGATGTAGTTCAATTGGTAGAGAGCTTGTCTAGCATGCATGAAGCCCTGGGTTAGACCCCCACCACTGAATAAACCAGGCATGGAGGAACATGCCTACAATTCTTGAGAGGTGGAGGCAGGAGGATTGAAAATTCAGTCATTTTTGGCAACATAGTGAGTTCGAGAATAGTCTGGTATGCATGCGACCCAGTCTCAAAAAATATGTGTGGATGTTATGTATGATGAGATACAAAATCAGTCTTAAATAGATTTTAGACTATGACCAGCTGAAGAACAAGGTAGCTAATTAATATATATTTCTAAAATACATCTTTATATTTTATTTTCATTTTTTATTTGCATGTATAACATATGACCACAGAAAATTTAGATCCTGAAATGAATTCTGTTTTTCTGTAATAGTTTTTCAATAGCTCGGATTATTCCTTTGCTCTCAATTCAGGTTCTACTCTGCAAATACTCCTTTCCAAGGTATATTTGATTTGTCCTCCCAATGTCCCCTAACCAGAAGAGAACCACAGAGGAAAACATCACTGAATTCATCCATTCTCATTGCCTACGTAGACCTGATTCACTAAGAAAATAGGAAGAGGGTAAACGAAAAACAGTCTAGGGAAGTTACTAACCATATAAGGCAATGGGTGAGCCACAACTGTGGGTGTAATTTTTTTCCCTTTTCTCTCTTTCAACAGGGAGACACATCACCTCTTCCTCCCACTGTCCCAGACTGTCTGCGGGCTGATGTCAGGGTTGCTCCTTCTGAGAGCCAAAAATGTTCCTTCTATTTAGCAGACAAGAATATCACCCACGGCTTCCTCTATCCTCCTGGTTAGTGAAACTCTTTTAGAGAAAGAGCTTAGAAAGCCCTCATCAGCTGGATGTGGCATGTGCCTTAAACATATATTCCCCACCCAAATGACCTGCTTGGGTAACCTAACAGCCCAAGAGGCTTCCAGTGGTCAGGGGCTGGCCAGAGTCAGTACGGCATTGTCCTTAAAGACTAATAAATTTTTCTACGGGAACCACATATTAGCTCTAATCTGGTCCAGATGTTTACAGAGTTCAACAGGTTTAAGTTTAATTTTACAACTGAAGATTATTTGGAGAGTGACACGAGCATCTAAAAAAAACATTATTTCTGGCTTACTGCCCTAAGGTCTCCATGGAGAAGGAGCTGTTTCTGTGAGAAGAAATCAGGCTGGAACTCTGGTCCATCACATTTGTTGTGCATCCAACAGCTTTGAACTGTGGCTTAACCAGTCAAATGAACTTTAAGTTGTTTGTGTTTTTAAAGAATGGCTTTCTCTTGGGGTCATAGGAAAACCAGTGTGATTTTTCTAAAATTCAAGCTCTTTTCGTGATCATCAGGAAATGACATTTTCATATTTTCATAAGTTCAACAATTTCAGTTTCTGGAAATAGGTTTACTCTGGTATGTGACTATTTTTTTCTTGAAGCCATGAAAAAAAGATGATAAATCGAGAGATTTTAATTTAGAGATTCAGAGATTTATAGTAGAAAAAAGGCTTAATGAAAGTAAGGAATATATTAACTGAAATCATAGATTTAATAAAATGTTTGTTTTGCAGCAATCAGTGGAACTTCTGATGGTCAGTATGATGCTTTACTTACAAGTAATTTGGCCCCAATGTATGAAGAATTCAAAAGTAAGTATACACCCCCTAATCCCATACTAGGGTTTAAACCTAGGCCTTCATATATGCAAGGCAAACACTCTACCACTGATCTATAGTGCCCCCCATTATTTATTTTGGGGATACAAGGTCTTGCCAAGTTGACCAGATGGCCTTCAATTCACTATGATTTCCAGGCAGCCCTTGAACTTGTGATTCTCCTTTCTTACAGGATTGTGCCACTGGGCCTGGCAGTTCATTAGAGCATTAATCTTAAACTATTAAGTTGACTCTCTGGAGTCAATTTTATTATTGCAATTGTTATTGATATTGAGTCATTTTTCTAATGTTTTAAATATAGGCACAAGACTCCTGATGTAGTTTATTTTCAACTTACTGAAACTTTGACTTGTTGCTAAAATTTGGTAATTGTTTTCAAATTTGCTTTTACTTCTTAGCTGTTACAAGCTATTCACAAAATTAAAGTTTACTAACACTCACCATAAATAAATGAGATGTTAATGCTTGTCCAAGAATGATAATTAATAATGCAGCATGACTGTTCTGATTGGTTAACACTCATTGTTGAAAGAATTTAGAAACATATTTAGCTGTAATTTCAATACTGCAAGTAAAGCAATAAAAAGTTATAATCAACATAGCTGTTCATTTTACAAAAATATTTTATTTGTTATCTTTATTTTATATGTATGAGTGTATTGCTTACATGTATGTAAGTGCACCTGTGCCATGAAATGCCCAAGGAGGTCAGAAGAGGGCATCAGATTCCCTGGAACTGGAGTTATAGATGGTTGTTAGCCGCCATGTGAGTGCTGGGAACTGAACTTGGGTCCTCTGAAAGCTGGTGCTCTTAATCCCTGAGCCACCTCTCCAGCCCCATAGCTGATTATTTCTATAGCATAGACTATTTTGAAGATTTATCCAGTGACCATTAACCATTATTGAAGTAGAATGTGATGCTATTTAAATACACCAGTAATAGAAAATATTTCCATGTTCAACAGAGATAAATATCTTTAACATCCTTATTCTTTTAATTTTAGAAATGTGGAACTACTTCCACAGGGTTCTTCTGATAAAATATGCTGTAGAAAGAAATGGAGTGAATGTGGTTAGTGGACCAATATTTGACTATAATTATGATGGCCATTTTGATACTCCAGATGAAATTAAAGAGTAAGTAACTTGTGTTTTTGATTTAAATATAAGGGGAACTCTCCTCATAAGAGGAAATCTTAATATTTTAAATACATACTGTATGATTTAAACATTATAAAGTATATTCATATTCAGATGCTATTGTTGCCCATTTTAAACCTAACCTATCTAAATACTTAGCAAAAGAAAATTCATATGGAAAAATTTAAACTAATGGGCACAGAAAAAGTTTCCAGGCAAAAAATATTTCCAATATTTTTATTGGAAAATTTATAAACTATGGGCCAAGACAAAATGAGATTTTATGAATGTTAAGGAGATGTAGAGACTCAGTGTACTATCAATAAATATAAATCAACCTAATAATAAATGAAAAACATCAAGGAAAGACTAAGTTGACCTTGGTAAATTTTACAGGTATAATAAAATAGAGGATGTAAGTAGATCTCCGTTCTAACCAACCCAACCAAGCCGTACATTCCAAACTTAGAACAGGTTGTGAAGAACTACTTTTGAGTTTTAGAAAATTCAGAAGCAGCATTTTAGAAAGAAGTTCTATCCATTGCTTTTTTTTATATTATTATCAAAATGTAGGAAGGACAAAACTAAACAACTGTAGTAGCTTAGATTATAAGCAACAATTTCTGCTTCTGATAAAGTAGCATCTCAGACTACTATGTATATAACCTGCCCCTATTTTGTTCATTTGGTCCTTATTTCACTGTTTTGCTTGTTTGATTTTGATGCAGGGTCTCATGTAACCCAGGCTGGCCTTGAACTCGCTATGTAGCTGAGGATGAACTTGAATTCCTGATCCTTTTACTTCTTCCTCCCAAGTGCTGGGAATATGGGTGTGTGCCAGCATTATCTGGCTTTCATCTCATTGTTTAGTTTATTCTGCTTTTCATCATTTAATAATTCTAACAAATGCTTTGAGGACACTTTATTACATGTTAGGTACTTTTCTAAGCATTTATATAGGTTTCATTTAATCTACAAAACAACTTTATGTTAAGTTCCATTAGCGCCTAGCTGGACATGAGGAAGTTGAGGCTAAGAGAGGTGAAATAACCTGTCTAACACATTCTGCACCTACTAAGTGACCAAGTCTAGATGTAAACCCAGGTGCTCTGAGTCCATGTTCTGAATCAGTAATATCTTGCTGCTTAACACCACCTTACATTCCTTCTAGTGGACTCAACTAATATCTTACCTTTGTTTTATATTTAAAACTTTTGAAAGTGAGCTGGAGAGATAGCTCAGTAGTTAAGAGCACTGGGCAGTTCTTGCAGAGAACCTGAGTTAGGTTCCCAGCACCCACATCGCAGCTGGCAACCATCTGTAACTTCAGTTCCAAGGGATCTGACACCCTCTTCTGGACTTTGTGGGCATTGCATGATGGAGGTGTACTTAGATACATGCAGGCAAAACACTCATAAACATAAAATAAATGAAATCTTAAAGACTTTTGAAAGTATATTCATATTTGCTACTAGAAACCAAACCAATGCATTCTCAGTTATTTGTTTACCACCACCCCCACACCCCCTCCAAACATGTGATTACCTCCTTGTTAAAAAGTGAGGAAATCGGAGTCAAAAAGGATAGTGGAAGCACACAGTCAGAGGTGGAATCGGGGCTCCTTTGTTCTCAATTCCCACTCTACTAGAAACCACCACTGTGAAGTATGAAATCAACAGCATTAGAAGGCGCAGCAGACAGTAGTCCAATTCCATGTTTTTGAGTCCTTGTATTGGAGTACTTTCCTATGATGTTATGATGACCAAGTTTAAAATTCAGCTAGAAATCTCTGTGCTTTTTTCCCCTTTCTATTTTTTAATTTTAAAAATTTATTTATTTATTTATTTATTATTTTTGGTCTTTTTGAGACAAGGTCTCCCTGTAGCCCCAGCTGTCCTGAAACTCACTATGTAGACCAGATGGCCTTGAATTCACAGAGATCCACCTGCCTCTGCCTCCTGTGTGCTGGGATTAAAGGCGTGTGCCACCATGCCCAGCATATTTATTTATTTATTTATTTATTTTTAATTTATTTATTTTGAGTCAGGGTAGCCCCATCTGGCCTGGAACTCACTATGGAAATCAGTCTGATCTCGATCCCACAGAGACCTATCTGCCTCTGCCTCCTGAGTGCTGGGATTAAAGGTGTGTATCACCATATCCAGCTCACTTTCTGCTTTTTAAAATCAGGTTTTCATCTTGACATTTCTTAAAGCTGTAAAAAACAAACAAAAAACCAAAAAACATTTGCAACAACATCAAATCATTGCAATTATGTTTTTAGACATGTGGCCAACACTGATGTTCCCATCCCAACGCACTACTTTGTGGTGCTGACAAGTTGTAAAAACAAGAACTACACACCCAACAACTGCCCTCTGTTGGATGTTCTGCCCTTCATCATCCCTCACCGACCTACCAATGTGGAAAGCTGTCCTGTGAGTATGCCTTGGGAGAAACCTGGGACCCAAGGAGACAGTTACAGCTCCTTGGGCTTTCTCAAAAGGGCTCTATCTAAAACACATTTCTTATGTGTTTCATGGGTGGAGTTTTGTTTTTCAATATATGAAGGATTTCTACTGAATTAATTTCAAACACATACTTGTAAATGTGGACATATATTTCCATTTGCATCTCAATGCCTGTCTCTCTGTCCTAAAAACAATTGCCATTTATCTGTCTGTCTCTCACATCTATCTTATGTCTGTCCGTCCGTCCGTCCATCCATCCATCCATATATCTATCATCTATCCATCTATCTATCAATCTCTCAATCTATCATCTATCTATCTATCTATCTATCTATCTATCTATCATCTGTCATCTGTCTATCTACTTACCTATCTATGTTATTGTTACTTACTAGGAAAGAGATGATACAATTGCCTTTTTTTAAACACTGAACACAAATTAAATTTCTACCCTAAGGTTAACATTAGATTAATTTTTCCCTGAATGAATGTTTAAATAAAAAATTCTAGCACCTTGAAGAATGAAGTGTGAAATTCAATTTACCCTCCCTCCCACCTACATACATACATGCCCAGACACACATGGAGAGAGAGAGAGAGAGAGAAATAACTTAATTCAACTAATATTTTTGTTTGAACATTAGCCCATCTCCAATTTTACTTCAATCAAGGCAAATTATGTGTAAGTGCTTACTTCAACTTTAATAGATATTCTTCATAGACAAAATACATACTTTGGCAATTGGATTTTATTTGTCATTCAACAAATATATTGAATCACTATTCAATACCAGATATCAAGATAGGAACACTTTAGAATGTACAAAAGAAAGATACGTTGTCACTTAAGAAATTTTTATACAACTTTGACATATGAATATTATATAGGTATATAAATGGGTATATATATTATAAATTTTTTTAAATAAAACAAAAATATTTTAAAATAAAAATTAAAAATTAAGAGGTTACATAATTAAGAGATGTTACAAAATTGAGATCAATTGTTAAATACAATTAAAGAAATTTAGTTTCTGGAATTGAAACACATTTGTCTGGAAACTGAAGGAGAGGCAGAATTTGAATAGATCAGTAATAGTAAGAATAGAACACTGAGTGTGGGGGCGCAGGCCTTTAATCCAGGACTCCAGAGGCTGAGGCAGGTGGGTCTGTGTGATCTACACAAAGAGTTCCAGGCAAATCAGAGCTACATAGTGAGTGTGACCTCATCTCAATTAAACAAAAAAAGTACTAACAGGTTGTGAACAATTGAGAAAAACCTGGGAATTGACAAGATAAAACAGCCAAAAGAAAAAGGAAACTCAAAAATCAGTAAAATCTATTGAATGTAATTAGAAAAAGTAGAAAAGGGGGAATGAAGACTCACTGGCAGGTCAAGCCTAGGCATGCCAAGTTGTGCTCATGGGGCAAACTTATTGACTATGAGAGACTGAAAATCAAAGCTTAGAGTCTAGGCCTGGTTGAGGTTCATGCATATTCTTCAGGTGTTCAGCAACATGAATATATTTGCCATATCATGTGCTATGAGAGGCACTTATGTGTAGATGACTGTTAAAATAGAAGAGGAAAGAGCCAAGCAGCAAAAGAGAGAGACAACAAAATTAGTTCAGAGAACTACTTCCTGGCAGCAAGGTGCCTGGGTGGTACAGATGGGATTTGTCTGGACTATTTGAATAGTCTTTCAGTGACTGCAGATGGAAGGCAAATGTTAGAGGCTGGATAGTGGATTACTCAGTGTCCTAAGATGAGGAAGAATAATTTCCAGATGAGAAAATGTCAGATGTTGAGGTGAATCCCTTCTCGCTTTTCTTCTCCTCAGTATTTTAGTTATTAAGGACAAGAGCAAGCCATCATTCTCTTCTCCCTGCAGTGGGAGACACTGATAACTAATACAGTGTATCAGTTATCACAGAATCAGGATTGAACAGTTCTGATCATAGAGGCTCTAGGTAGTCATTGTAGTGATTATAATGTTTGTTTGTTTGTTGGTCTTTTTGAGACAGGGTCTCCCTGTAGCCCCAGCTGGCCTGAACTCACTATGTAGTAGACCAGTAGACCAGGCTGGCCTTGAACTCACAATCAGCCTGCCTCTGCCTCTGCCTCCCAAGTGCTGGGACTAAAGGCAAGAGCCACCACACCCGACTCATAGTTATTATACTGGATATGCAAAGAAGAAACTAGTTGCTGCCCCTGATCTAGGCCCATGGGACTTTCTGTCATGAAGTTTGCTTTCTTATGGTGCTGGGAATCAAATCAAGGCCCTTGCACATGCTAAGCCAGTCCTAGTCCAGCTCCAAAAATAATCTTAAGTAGATTTATATCTTTTATTGTCTTCTCAGCCTTTGTGTATCATCATCATTTTAAAATTTAGTTTTCCTCCTTCACCTCAAAATTTTTTAATTTTTTTTTTTTTTTTTTTTGAGACATGGTCTTATTATGTAGCCCAAGCTAATCTCTTCCCGACTCAACTTCCTGAGTGCTGGGGTTAGAGTATAGTCACGCACCAACCAGTACTCCAAAACAAAACAAAATAAATGAATCTCTAGCCTATGCTTAAGTTCCTAAGTAATTTATCCTTAATTGACATGGCAAGTATGTGTCCAAGCTGGCTGCAGTCCTTCAAATTACTTCAAAAAGCTTTCATTCCCCAATCTTTTCTGGTTTCCCATGTTCTCACCTTTAGAGCTTTCTTCTTTTCTATCTGCTAAAAACTCCACCTGCACCCCAAGGTAAAGTGCAAATCCTATAAAAGCTTTCCTAATCATCCAAAATGAAAATGATCTCCCCCAAATTAACAAAGCATAATCTCTTTTGAAGAGGTTAACATCACCAATAAATTGATACTATCCAAGATTTTAGGAATTTGGAATATAATAAAAGGGATATAACATCTATAAAGCTGATTATGACGGCTGGAGCTATGGCATAGCCATTCAATACTAAAGATAATAACCAAAATGATAGCCATTAAATACTAAAGATAATAACCAAAATATCAGAGATAATTATGAGAAAAATGTGAGGGATACAAAAGTTAAGATTGTCGGAGAGATTGTGAATGAAATGTGGCTATTAGCTGGGGTAGGAGGAGGCAGATGAGAAGGTCAGAGGTGCCTGAAAATTTATGTACAGCTGCTCAGAAATTGTATAAAACAATCACCTGTTTGGGGGAGGATGAATTTTCTCTTGGTGGATTTAAGTTTGGGAATAGTTGATTTTCCAGGACATAGCACAACAGTATATATAAAACAGTATTTAAATGCATAGGCTTGCAGTTAGATAACATGGATTCTGTTAGGGTCTTGGCTTCATTGGGTAAATAATAATGCCACTTTCCTCATCCATTCCAGCTAATAGGTCTAAAAAGTTCACATACCCTTATGAAATTGTTATCAGAATTAAATGAGATAATCTATGTGAAACCCTGAGCATTCCCAATATATAGTATGTAAATGGTAGCCCTTAGAAAAAGGAATCATATCTTATGGTAGTTTCATTATAAAGCCAGCATAAACTGAAGTCTCCGATGATCTAATCACCCAGAAAGTACAGAAAATGTATAGACTGCTCCTCAGTAAATTCAACTCAACCAGCATTTCCCTAGTATTAGAACAACGAATTGTGTTGCAATCATTTGGTGAAATAGATGCATAGTTTAAGGGTTAGAGGTATGAAAACTCTCCACTTTTCAGTATTATAATCTAGTATATGGAGGTATTCCAATTAAAAGAGCCTTGAAGGACCTCAAGCAGCAGTAGGAATGGTAGATTCCCAATTCTATCTCATACCTGGTCTAGGGAACTAGAACTATAGTAATTCCTCCTCTCTTCTCCTCTCCTCTCCCCTCCCCTCCCCTCCCCTCCTCTCCTCTCCTCCCCTCCCCTCCCTAGGTTCCTCATATACCCTTCCTCCCCCCTCCCCCACCAAGGGAAGAAAGTGCAGAGAAAAGACACTAAAATAACATAAAGGAAAATATCTATACTTCTAGATGAGTTTGAGAAACACAAGATCTCACAGCAAGAAGCATTGAGTAGAGCTGTGGAAGACCAGGAATTTCACAAGTTTGTGCTAGTCAGCTGGGCAAAAGGCGTGTGGACACCCACCCAGTGAGGTTGTCTTTGGTTGCATTGGTGTGGGGCAACAATACTAGACTGAGTGTCAAGGTGAGAGAACAAGGAAGCAATTAAGGCAGAAGGATAAGTTCTTTTTTAATGCAGCAAGGCTAAGATATAATAATACAGTATGTAATATATAGTAAGTGTCCATTTAACTACAGCTCACAAACCCCGTATGTATGCAAGGCTGTTGAGTTGGGTGTGCTGCATAGCTAGAGCGCTACCTATAAGGTGGCTTCTGTTTGGAGTGGTTGAGCAGGTGACTTGCTGGTTGTTAAAGCTTGAGTATTATCTATGCGTATGTATAGTTATGTGTGGTACTTTATGGCCTTTTTATCCCATCTTTAAAAGAGCGAAGACTATCAGGTATCAATAAACATTGGATGGGCGTCAAAAAAACTAAAAGAGAAAGAGTCCTAAGTCAAGAGGACATTTTATGGAAAAAGTGATGGGCTGTGTCAAATGCTGTTGAAGTGTGAAATGGTAGTGACAGGAAGAAGACTTCAATTGGAAAACTGAACTCAAATAAGCACACTGCACATTTTGTATAAAATGAATTCACTTGGACGATGGTTCTCACACAGAAACTACTTTAGGGTTAGGAACAAAAGTTGACTTCCTCTTACGTTTCCTCTGGCTCAGAGAGTGGCTGCCTGTTTTGAGTCTGCATACTTAAGAAACAAGCAAGTCACTGTGCTGAATGAAATCAAATGAGCTTTATTAAGACACATTCATATGATTAGACAAAGGCTGACACTTGGCTAAAATTTAAGTAAAAATTAATACTGCAGTATGAAAATTAGACAATGAAAAGTGAAGGGTGTTGCATAAATCCATGACTCCAAATTATGCAGCAAACTTTATGCAGTGAAAGCTTATTAAAAATCAAATGTCCAAGAAATATCTGAAAAAATACTCAACTGTAGTAATATTGAGAATACTAACTGCTATTACATGCTCTTGACTTGATAACGATGTGGGGATCATCGTCCATTGCCTATGAGAGTGGAAATTGCCATAAACATTTTGAGAAATGTTATGCTTAATATCTCGTAGAGTTAAAATTAGTGTGCACCCAGCAACTTCCTGTATCTATCCTAGAGTCTTATGCTCCTTTTTTAGCAAAAACTTTATTGAGAATTTCATACATGCATATAAGGTGTTTTGATCAAATCCATGCCCACTCCCTCCCCTCCAACATTCCCCCCTCTGAAGAGGTAACCCTAAAATCTTTTAAGGATTAAATACAAGCTCCCAAATACTTTTGATATTTTTGGCCTTGGAACAGAGTATGTTCCTAACAGGCGGAAGGACATTTTGACTTTTAGCCAAGCAACTGATTACATTTCTTTGGGGTCTTTTTTACCCTAACTGCCTAGCCAATTCCTACTTCCTATTCTTATCACGCCATCCTTTGAAGGGGTTACTCAGATTGCCAATAGGAATAGAGTCTTATGCTCTTAAACACAAGGAGCACACACCAAGTTATTCATTATAGTATTATTTACAATAGTTTATAAACTCTATAATTTGGTAACTATAAATAAGTTGTATGGGGGAGAGAGAGGCTCATGAGCCCCACCGAAACTGAGGTGCTATTAAGAGTTCATGGCTACAAGGGAAGGAGAGTCAATTTTCTCCAGGGGTTTGGCTCCTGGCAGGGCCAGCATGCTCCAGTGGATGGCCCCATACCCATTAGTTTATGGGCAGCACAAATTGGACTTGGTGAGTTATAAAAAAAAACAAAACATGAAGCTGGTAAAGGGATAAGAAGTAGATCTAGGAGGTGTTAAGAGGAGGAATGAGGGTTGAATACATTCAAAATACATTACATGTATAAGTGAAATTCCTGAAGAATTAATTAAAAATATTATATTAAATAAAGAATTCTAAAAAGCTGTGTTAAATTAAAATGAGGGTATATCACAAATGACCCATCTAGATCTAGATACATCACTATGGATAGATTATAAACATACAAGTCAATGAAAAATACTTAGAAAATGTCATTTATATAAATGTGAAAACAGAAGCCAATACTAGATATTGTTTATTGATAAGTGGTAACACTTAAAAACAGTTTAGATTCACATTACTCATAGTAAGTTAGTAATGTTCAGCTCTGAGCCTAGTAAAAATGGGGAGAACTTAATCTGTAATATGTTTATTTTAAAAATTTTTGTTAGGAGCTGGAAAATGGCTCAGTTGGTAAAGTGCTTACCATACAAGCATGAGGACCTAAGTTTGGATCCCCAGTACCCACGTAAAAAGCCGGGTGGTGCAATGCACACATGTGATGCCGGCGCTGGGGAGGTGGAGACAGGAGGATCCCTGGGGCTTGCTGGCCAGCTAGAGTAACCAAATACATGAGCTCCAGGTTCAGTGAGAGACCCTAAAAACAGCACGAAAAACAACTGAGGAAGATACTCCATACCAGCCTCTGGCCTCCACATGCACACACACACATGAACATACTCCATATCAGCCTCTGGCCTCCACATGCACACACTACTCCATACCAGCCTCTGGCCTCCACATGCACACACACACATGAACATACAAACTTGTGTCTGAGGCAAGGTCAAAACAAATGGGTATGAGTTCATGGTAGCTTATATTTCTTTTAGAACTATTGTTTTGTTAAATAAAATTTAGTTGTATCAAATTAAGAGTTAAGACAATAAAAATCATAAAGGGACATCTGAGTAATAAAATATTTTTGTTAGTAAAATGTCATGATGTATAGAAAACAATCTTGTGTTTATTATTGTAGGAAAACAAAACTGAAGATCTTTGGGTTGAAGAAAGGTTTGAAGCACACGCTGCCCGGGTCCGTGATGTAGAACTTCTTACTGGTCTTGACTTTTATCAGGAAAAGGCACAACCAGTCTCTGAAATTTTGCAACTGAAGACATATTTACCCACATTTGAAACCATTATTTAACTGAATGCATAGCAATCTAGCAAAGTGAAGATAATACCTTCTATTTGAAAATCATAAAATAAAGTTTTCTATTTTTTCCTTAATTCTACTGAAAGTCATGTTTTCCAATACAGTCTTTTTTTTTTCATTTCTTTGGATATATACATTTTAGAAGCTATTTTAACTAATGTTTATTTGTGTGTGTCTGCATGTGTTCTGTGCATGCATGCATGCTGTGGCGAGAATATGGAGGTCAAAGGACAAGTTGTCATGGGGACGGGGACTGAATTCAGGTCTTCAGGCCTGGCAGCAGGTATCTTTACCTACTGAGCCAACTCATCCCTGGACATGTATTTTTTAAAGTTACATTATTTTGTGGCATTTTTGTCATGTTATATTTTCATTATTGTATTATTGTTTATTTTTGTATTGTATTATTATATCGGTCATCACCTTTGATGATATTGTTCTGCTCAGCATCATCTAAACAAAAGAAAAAGAAAATAAGTAGGCTTTGCTTGGGAATTGAAACAATTCTACATCAGTTTGTGATAAATATTTTTGTTTTGTTTTGTTTTGTTTTTGTTTTCTTTGTTTTGTCTTTTTGAAGCAGGGTCTCCTTGTAGCCCTAGCTGTCCTGGAACTCACTATGTAGACCAGGCTGGCCTTGAACTCACAGAGATCCGCCTGCCTCTGCCTCCCGAGTGCTGGGACTACAGGCATGCACCACCACACCCGGCTATAAATCTTTTTTATATTCATCGATGAGACAATATTTGTTCATTTAAAAATTCATATAGCTTTCATTTGGTAGTTTTGCCTGTAAAAATTTCCCTAGCGTATATACTTTTCACAGTGCATATAAATGCCAAAGACCAGAAAGCACAGAATTTGGTTAAACAAAAAATGAAATACTGTGCCAGCTCTGTAAAAGAAAGTGACTCTTGGCTATAATTAAATAAAAAGGTGAGTAGTAAAAGGGTATGAATGGTGTACTGCCGTTCCTCAGGAATTGCCAGACTTTCCTATAAAGAGTCAAACAGTTAAGTTTTTAAAAGCCATATCATCTTTGTCATAAATACAATCGTATACTGCTTATGGGGCTGTGTTCTGAGAAATGTGTCATTAGGCGATTTTGTTAATATGAACATTGTGGAATGCATTTACATGGACTGAGATGGTATGTCTGGAGGTGATCTGTAGGTGATCTGTCTTACCATGCTACACATTGTCACTGAATGTCATTATGCTATTAGTGTGAGCATTGCAGAATGCATTTACATGAACTGAGATGCTATCACATCTGTAGGTGATCTGGAGGCTTACCGTCCTACACATGGTCATCACTGACTGGATGTCATTATATTCTGCATGTTTATACTTAACTGTGTGGTTATGTCATAAATAGAAACAGTTCTACATAATACACAAAAGGAGGGGAGGGGCTGTGTTCCAACACAGCAGTACATACAAAGGAATCGGTTAAACTGGCCCACAGGCTCTAAGTTCATTCATTCGTCAACGCTTGATTTCTGTATTAAAGCCCTGGTGTCAGGGAAGGCAGGGATGTATGGTAAGGGGAAAAGGGAGATGAAAGTTTCGTTTTGTGACTTTTGTACTGCCTGAAGTTTTGAGGGTGTCCACTGGTCAGTTTCTTGGAGCACTAGACTGGAAAGCTCCACATTGTTCTGATGGAAAGATAACTACTCAGGGACATGGGCTTTGCTGATGATGAAAAAATGTGGTGATGAAGGAAAACACCATCCTATTGTTTTTCACTTCTTTTGGAATTTCAACTGAATCACAGCCACTAACTACAGCTCATGAGAATGTTTGTTGAGTGCCATTGGGTTTCTTTTTTTGAAAATATATATTCCTCATTTACTGGATTTAATTTAAAATATTTTTAAAGATTTATTTTTTATTTGTGTGTATGTGTGTATGAACACATGGGTGATGTGGCTATGGAGTCCAGAAGCAGCAGCTCCCCTAGAGCTGGAGTTACAGGTGGTTATGAACCACCCAACTTGGATGCTGGGCACCAAACTTGGATCTTCTTTAAGAGCAGCAAGTGCCGAATGTATGACAATGTACTAATATACTATATGTAAAATCCCTTCCATGTTCCCCTTTTCCAACATGGCTCCAATATTACATAAAAGTATCTGGGCTTTGCTTCATGGGGAGACAAGTGGTGGGTGTTTATAACTTTGAACTGTATTTAACCTGGAAATGGCTAAACTGCTGAGAGCTCAGCCTAGAAATAAAAAGCCAGCCTGAGAAAAAAATCCCTTTTACCAGGGATTATGTCATACTGTACATTCATTTTGTAAACTCCTCATTTCATCATGAAGAAATATATAAAGCTTGGGATATAGCTCAGTGGTGGCAGCCTGTGTTTCTTGCCCACACAAGGCTCTGGGGTCAATCTCCAGCACTGCCAGGAAAAGAAATAAATAAAAGAATATAAAACAACAAGAAAATAAATATGTGTGAATAATATTCTGAAGGAAACAACAAAAAGTGAAAGTAACTCTGGAAATTATTTTTCCTCACACTATCTTATTGCTGCATAGTTCTCCACCAAACTTTCTTAAATTAATATAATATTAAGTCAGTCTCTTACATAAAGACCTTTAGGTTGTTTCTAACATAATTACAAAGATACAGCAATGAATAATGCTACATATATACAGCGTTATGCTTTTGGAAGTATGTCTTCTGGGTGTGTTCCTGATAATGGTTAAACTACATATATAGTATTTTAATTGAAAATTATTTACTAATTTTTATTTATGTGTGTGACTGTTATGCCTGCATGTGTATAAGTGCACCCGTACCATGCAGTGCCCATGGAGTACAGAGAGGCCATCCGATCCCCTGAAACTGGAGTTATGGATAGTTGTTAGCTGCCATGTGGGTGCTGGGATTCAAACTCGGGTCTTCTGCAAGAACAGTTAGTGCTCTTAACTTCTGAGCCATCTCTTCAGTCCCTAGTAGCTTCATTTTAAAGTAAAACTAGAGTACATTAGTATGACTTCAATGATTAAGTTTGTCAATTCAATTCTGAATTCAATGAGGCATAGTTTTCCATTGACCTAAATGGAGATAATTTATTTTTTATTTTAAAAGTAGTGTACATTTATGACAAAATTATCCAAACAAATACATATAAATGATATCATATAATAAATTAATATGTCATGCACATATGTAAATATTAAAATCAGATGTAATTTTACCAACTAAAGTTTTCAATAATTACAGTCTATTAACCCATGGCTCTTGGACATGGCTCTCCTTTGAAATATAGTTTTTATTATTTTTTAGAAGATTTATCTTACGGGTAATGGCAGGTGAATATGATTAAAATGCATTGTAAACACTATATATGAAGATGTCATAGTAAAATTCATTATTATATATAATTAATATGCTAATTAAAAACATAAAAATGAAAAGCTCCATTCCATCAGAAAAAAAAGGAATTTACTGTAGCAAATAAGACAGCTTCTGTGTGACATTTCAATAAATGACTTGAATTTTTGCAATCTGGTACCCAAGATATGTGTAACTGATAATTCACAGGGAATCGAATGGGTGTGGTAAGAAAGTGTAACGTCAGCATCCATGATCAGTCACCACTTTGATCTTTGAAAGTTGTGCTTTGTTACTTTGATATGATAGAACTGCATCGTCTTGGACAATGCAACTGCCTTTCCTTTTAATTCTATTGACATTAAAATATGTGATCAAACAAATTTTAAAATGCTTTTTTATATAGCTGAATATTTGACAGTGAAAAGTCACTGTCAGTGATAGGCATATGTGAAAAGGATATTTGTGTGAACTGCTATTTTACTGAATCAAGAATTACAATTAATTCTTGTTTGTAGAAAGCTTGCTTTCTAACACAAGGAGGTCAGCTAAGGTCATAGGAATAAATTAGAGAAATTCTAAATGGTGACTTATTTTCTAGATTTAGTTCAGGTTTTGAATTTTTATTTTCTTAGTGCAATTTATCCTTAAAAAATAAAAACTTCCAGGAAGGGTGTCTAGCATCATAGCTGGAGAAAAAAACAGATTCAAAGTCTGTTCTCCCAGAAAGAATCAGAAACAACTATGTTCTCTGGTCCAGTAGAGATCCATTTTCCCTGCAGGTGTATAGGGTTAAGTAGATGGGTGGGGATAAATGGGATAAAGAAGTAAATCTATTCATGTGAGGAAGGTTCATGCTTAGTCATCAATTTTATTGGAATCTAATATAAGAATTTCCAGTGGTGAGCATTTAGTACCGGTAAGTGGAGTCTCAGGATCAGTGTTTATGCTTGTCAACTGAGCTGATCTTGATGTCAACATCATCTGGTTTTAACACTTGGGTTTATTTCCAAATCATATTTTGGTTTGATGAAAATCCTCTTGCCCTAGGGAAATCTCATTCCTTTCTCCTCTTCCAATCACACCCCCACATCACCACGACTGCCCCACCGGGGCTTGTCATCTGTTTGCTTTGGGAGGGCGGGGTATGGGAATGGAAATGGGACATAAACTGAAACAGTTTAAAAACACAAACAAGGCTGTTAGAAGAAACGACTTCCTTTTGACACAGGTCCGCGGTGGACCACAATCACTCCCTCGGTGGATTTGGGCTTGGATAAACTTCCAGACAGCAGCAAACCTCAGCCTTTCAATGATAGAGAACTGGGACAATTTAAACTCATCCCAAACCCTCAGGATAAACGTAGCTACCATAACAGCTAGTAATGTATGCCACTGGACTTGGAGTTAAATAGTCCTTTTATCCTGACATTTTATATTTCTTAATGTACAAATTAAGGTTCATAGGCCTAGCTGTCTGGAGAGGACAGTTAGTGCATCTCTGAACCCACCAACAAGTGATGCTCTGTTAATGTTATTTTATGTCAATGATGACAATCTCTAGAGGTGATGAAAAAACAAAAGGCAATTACTTGATTTTAACTTGCCTCTTGACTATTGCAGTGAGTCCTGTCTTGTCTACTTAATATGATCCATATGTGTGTCTCTTAGGAAATCATCTACATTGTGCATTCTCATTTGAGCACAGTAAGGCAGTAGTGTATGAGGATG